TATTTATTAATTGCTATTATAAAAATATAAATCCAAAAATCAGGTAGGTAGGTACTTAGCGTAATAAAAATAATTTTTACACGGGTTACTGCTCATCATCTGTATCGTCTACATGTCCATGTCCGTCAGAAATAATGTAAGCGTGATGATATGATTAACGGACGAACACGTACTGCTTCGTCGTACTTATTCACATCCGGCTAMTAACTGATTATACTTGGGAGAGTTTGAATTTATATTTTTTTTCGTGATAAATCTGTAGGAGTGTAGGATTCATTAGGTTTTACCACAACCATACAATAATTGCCGATATTGTCGGTAAAAAGGTTGATTATTAAGCGATAAAGAGACAATCGTCGTGAGCAGACGTTCGTGTTAGATATTATGACAGACTACGACCATCCAATAATATTATGATTTTTCCCGACAATTTTTASTTATTATTGAACGTGGCACTTCGGCTATTGTATAGATGACCGGCCTRCCGAATTCAAATAGGATTGGCGATAAAGGGTGATGTAAAACTTAAACGTATTATATTATTRTTGTTGAAATAATAAATAGTTTACGAAGTGACCCTGCACAGAGACAAGTTCACACGTTATTTATCCCGGGCATGTTAATGCTGTTATTCGAAATCTGATTTTTGGAATTTTCAAAATATAACCTACTTAAAGACAATTGTTTTTTTCGGATGCTTTGCACCACTTATTAAATAGCGAATGTCTTGTKGCCTTTTTTCAATGCAAACTGGTGTTGTTCAATCTCTGTAAATGGTGCTAAAAAATATCAAATATTTGAAAAAACGACTTTTGTGTAGGTATATGAACTATAATTTAAAATTCGAAAAATTCTGTTTTGATAAACCGCAGCATTATTATATAAATGGGGAAAAAAAGTGTGGGTTTTCTCGGCGAATCATCCTGCACAACTGCGTACTTGTATTGATCGATTGGTCACTTAAGGCGACCTTTTAATCTCGACCTCTATCTGGTCATACGACGCGTGATAATAATGTTAAAGTCAGGGGCTGATAGATCAGGTTAGGTTAGGTTTTTTCACAGCTTTCCGCATCAATTTTTTTCGCCATCCACGCGAGTAACTATATAATATTGTTGTTGTTCTGTTCGGAGACATCATTGTTGGTTCGTAATAGATTGTGCTACATA